TGGATTTTCAAATGACAGTGCAAGATATGCAAATGAGCGCTCCATTTGCATGTCCTCTTCTGCAAAACACCCGCGGTGTAGACATAGCCTGAGGCCTATACTGTGTCAGTAAAGCTGGAGATAACTTTTCTCATATGATTCAGACCTAGATAATATCTTGACTCCAGTCCGGCAAACATTTATGCATGTGCTTAACTTTACTACTAGGAAGAAAACCTCATTTTCTGAGGAATAAGGACTCTTGCGCACAAGAGAGGCTCTTTCGAAAGATACTTTCGAAAGAGCCTCTTTCGAAAGAGAGCATCTAGACTGCACGTTGAACTTTCGAAAAAGCGGCTTGCTTTTTTGAAAGAAAGCATCCAGTGAGTCTGGATGCTCTCTTTCGAAGAAGCCCTATTTACATTGAAGAACGCCTTCTTTCGAAAGAGGAACTTTCGAAAGAAGGCGTTCTTCCTCGTGAAATGAGGTTTTCCGCCATCGAAAGAAAAGCTGCGTTCTTTCGATTTAATTTCGAAAGAACGCGGCTGCAGTCTAGACGCAGGTGAGGTTTTTTCGAAAAAAGGCTACTTTTTTCGAAAAAACCCCTGAGTCTGGACACAGCCTTAGTAGCAATGCATAAGTCTTTATAAGATCTATGCTTTGGATGGCAATTTAAAAGTACAGTTACCCATATTGGTTTATAGGGAGTGTAAATGAGAACTAAACAATGCTGTAGTCAATAATTTATGTTTTTTACTTCAAGAAACTTTACATTTTAAAAAGTCTAGAACTAATTTAAAATCTATTTGGCTATCACTTAAAAATAAAAAGTTCATATCCAAAAAACTCATTTTTTCAGTCTTACACATACAATTTTTCCTACAAGTCTATCTAATACAAGGTTTGGCATAAATGCACATATGTGTGCAGCTTGTGTTTTAATACGTTTTATGGGAAAATACATATTTAGATGGAAACATCAAATTCATAATTATGCTACACATGCTAACAACTACCACCACTATCCTAATATTTTGCTAAACTGGGATTGCTAGCAATTATACATACTTTCAGTCAAAACTGTTCTCCTGTTGTCTCATTCTCCTTACTTCCTTTTTCTCTTCAAAAAGTTGATGGAGCCATGCTCCTAATAATACATACCTGAATGTTTTTACTTCAGATATTCACTCTTTGCTAAAACAGAAAATCTTACCATTTACAACTTATCCTGCACAAATTTTGTCTTAATTTTATAATTGCTATCTTTGTTATTGATACAACACCATAAACGTGCATAGAGCCTTACAGACAGATACAAGAAAATGTCCATGCCCATATGAATTTACAATCTAAAATTATAAATCAATATATCGAATAAAAATCCATTTTGTGGCACTGTAATAAACATGCCTACTTTACTTACTGTAGCTGTTGCTAGGGAACAGACTCTACATTTCATTTGAATGATTCTAATGCCTGGCCTGTACACCAAGCTATACCTGTTTAACTAAAAGTGTGATTTTAAACAAACTGGTTAAGCCAGCTCAATTGTGGGTGGACACTATCACTTTCAAATTAAACAGAGCTGATTTAAGATGTTCTTACACTAATTTAAGAATGTCCACATCAAAGATGTTCATTGATTTTGCTAATTTGGTATCTAAATTAGTTAATTGGTACATAAGTTGTGTGTAGACAAGGACAAACAGTGTATAGATGGCACACCAAAACCTTTTCAACACTATACAAGAAGGCTACGTCTACACTACAAGGTTTTTGCACAAAAACCGGCAGACAGTCCATACCTCAAGAGTGTTTTTGCGCAAGAAAATCTACAGAACAGAGGGCTTTTGCCGGTAGACTTATTCCGCTCCTCATGAGGAATAACTTCTTTTTTGCACTACAGCTCTTGTGCAAAAAGGCAGGCGTGGACGCTCTGGAGGGGGTTTTGCACAAGAAACCCCTATCGGAAAAGGCACGGGTGCTCTTTCTTGCGCAAGAGCATCCATGTAATGTGGCTGCTCTTTTGCGCAAAAACACATACTTTTGCAATGTGCTTTGAGGTCTGGATGTGCTTTTGCGCAAGAACTCTTTGCACAATAACTCTTCCGCAAAAAGCTTCTTGTGCAAAAACCCTGAAGTGTAGATAAAGCCGAAGAGTATACTACCATACAGTTTTGCCCTTAGTCTGGATAGAATATAGTGCAAAGATGGCAAATACCGGCCTGCAGGCCAGATCCAGTTCCCCAGAGTTAGCCCCTGCTGGGCCACTGTCACTATATTTACCTATGTCTCCACAGGTATGTGTGATTGCAGCTTCTGTTAGAACTTTGTTTTGAAAACATTTTCCAAAATATAAAAACTACTGGAGAACTCTGGAAAGGGGTACACATCCTGTTCTTTCCCATAGACTACTTATAAGAGGTTCTAAAAGTAACCTCAGGGGATTAGAATAGATGACCCTTGTGGTCCCTTCTAACACTGATTCTATGATGTCTTTTGCTGACCTTGTTGTATCTTGGGCTATGTCTATACTACAAGGTTTTTGCGCAAAAACTGGAGGAGCGTCCACACCTCAAATGCATTTTTGCGCAAAAAAAACCCAAATAGTAAATCAACAGGACAGAGGGCTTTTGCCAGTAGACTTATTCCTCTCCCCATATATACTCGAGTATAAGCCGACCCGAATATAAGCCGAGGCACCTAATTTTACCACAAAGAACTGGGAAAAAATATTGACTCGAGTATAAGCCGACCCGAATATAAGCCGAGGCACCTAATTTTACCACAAAGAACTGGGAAAAAATATTGACTCGAGTATAAGCCGACCCGAATATAAGCCGAGGCACCTAATTTTACCACAAAGAACTGGGAAAAAATATTGACTCGAGTATAAGCCGACCCGAATATAAGCCGAGGCACCTAATTTTACCACAAAGAACTGGGAAAAAATATTGACTCGAGTATAAGCCGACCCGAATATAAGCCGAGGCACCTAATTTTACCACAAAGAACTGGGAAAAAATATTGACTCGAGTATAAGCCGACCCGAATATAAGCCGAGGCACCTAATTTTACCACAAAGAACTGGGAAAAAATATTGACTCGAGTATAAGCCGACCCGAATATAAGCCGAGGCACCTAATTTTACCACAAAGAACTGGGAAAAAATATTGACTCGAGTATAAGCCGACCCGAATATAAGCCGAGGCACCTAATTTTACCACAAAGAACTGGGAAAAAATATTGACTCGAGTATAAGCCGACCCGAATATAAGCCGAGGCACCTAATTTTACCACAAAGAACTGGGAAAAAATATTGACTCGAGTATAAGCCGACCCGAATATAAGCCGAGGCACCTAATTTTACCACAAAGAACTGGGAAAAAATATTGACTCGAGTATAAGCCGACCCGAATATAAGCCGAGGCACCTAATTTTACCACAAAGAACTGGGAAAAAATATTGACTCGAGTATAAGCCGACCCGAATATAAGCCGAGGCACCTAATTTTACCACAAAGAACTGGGAAAAAATATTGACTCGAGTATAAGCCGAGTTTTTCAGCACATTTTTTGTGCTGAAAAATGCCCCCCCTCGGCTTATACTCGAGTATATACGGTAACTCCTTTTTGCACAAGAGCTGTAGCACAAAAAGGCATGTGTGGATGCTCCACAGGGGTTTCTTGCATTAAAAAAAAAAGCACAGGTGCTCTGATGGCCATTCTGTTAATGGCAATCAGAGCTTTCTTGAGCAAGAGTGTCCATGCAGTGTGGACGCTCTCTTGCGCAAAAGCGCATCACTTTTGCAATGCGCTTTTGAGGTGTGGACGCGCTTTTGCGTAAGAAGTTTTTGCAGAAGATCTCTTCCGCAAAAAGCTTTTTGTGCAAAAACCCTGCAGTGTAGACAAAGCCTTGGTGTCTAGACTATTCTTTCCCTTTGCTTTTCTTATTTTCTGCTCAGAGTTATGAGTCTAATGGGCACTGAATCTAATGAACCATAATCATAAGCAAGGCTAAACAAATAATGCAATCTACTAGCCCGTGATGAGTAGATTGCAACCCGGAAGAGCCAGATTCGGGCGATCTGCACATGCACAGAACGATCTGCACATGCGCAGATTGCCGGACAGCGTGGCTGGCAAGCGGTTCGGCGAGCCCTGATCATAATGGTTTCTTAGATATTATCTGTGTGCTCTAGCCAGCAATGAATTTGGTCCGTGGTTACTCATCTGATGCCATCTAGTCATCAAGAAGAAACCTTCCTCCCTGAACCAGATTCCAGTGGACCAAGGGCTCTTATCTCAGAGGTGTTAGTGACTCAACAACTTGCTTTGACCATATGATCTGGACCATAATGGATCTTTTTTATCACTATCTCATGTTCCTTTTTGTTCAATTCTTTTTTCTGTTTTTCCATCTTCATTTGGCTGGGGAAACTGATTTTTAAAAGCCCAGTAGATTTGTGAATAAACATTTTGTTTGCTAGTCTCATATCTGTCATTTAATAATACAAAATTTACCTTTGTATTGTACAGTTTTTGTAATAGTTAGATTAATAACATGGAGATATAATAACATGCTGTTTGAGAAGTTAAACTGTTAAACAATAAAAAAGAATCTTACATTTCTGCACTTAGGGATATAGTAAGTAATATCTAAATAACCCATAAACCATGCCAACCAACTCAGTTGGGAGTCAATTGTTTTGCTTTGAATCTAAGTTGTTCCGTTTTAAAAAATTCAATTATTTAAGGAAAGCTAATTTAAAGATATAAGTTTTGCATTTAGTTCTGAGAGCAAAGAAGTTTATAGTCTCTTATCACTGTTAGTATTGAGTTCCACTGTCTTGATCCATTCCTGTGTAAGAGAAGGGAACAGGACTGACCCTTGAAGAACTGTACAGATGATGGCTCTGGAGATGGAGGAACAGCAGTCCATCAGAGAATTCTAGAACTGGAAAGGACTCTAGATGTAATCAAGTCCAGTCCATGCACCATCTAGACAATTCCTGACAGATTGTCTAACCTGCTCTTAAATATCTCCAATGATGGAGATTCCTCAACCTCCCTAGGCAATTTATCCTAGGCAATTTACTGGTTCAGCGAGCCCTGGTTATATCAAACAGTTGTTTCGTATATATGGAGATATACTTATCTCATAGAACTGGAAGGGACCTTGAGAGTTCATCGAGTCCAGTCCCCTGCCCTCACAGCAGGACCAAGTACCATCCCTGACAGATTTGTCCGAGATCCCTAAATGGCACCCTCAAGGATGGAGCTCAACACTGCATTTAGCAGGCCAATGCTCAAACCACTGAGTTATCCCCCTTAGTTTCTTAGGTATTGACTATACTATCGGGCAAGGACAATTTTGTATGTGTCTGTTAAGTGTTATGCAGAGTTATGTAACAGGTATTAAAAGTGTTGCACTAGTTTGGAAACCATTTTCAACTCCATCTAAATAGGGAAGACATTGGAGGTCCATGTTTGACACAGTTGTCAATTACAAGTAATTTTTCTAGTGTAGGTATGAATATACTATAATACGTACAGTATGGTCTGACAGGTTTTAAAGGAATGCTACTGGATGACTGAAATATGATTTTATGGTATGAAGGAACATAGAGTACATAATAAATATAGCCTTTGATAAGTAAAAAGATGCTTTTCATATTAGCCACAGCAAACAAAAATATACATGAATCAGTACCTAAACATTTGACAGTGCCAAGAGCAAATGCTGAAGCTGCTCGTGGTTTGTTAGTTACAAGAGCAAGTTCTCCAAAATATTGTCCTCTGGAGTACCGAGCTATTTCAACTGCCTCATTCTCTTCTACATCCTGTTTATTCTGTAAAGTTAGATAAGATAAAAATAAGACACACTTACTACATGTACCGTTTTACTTATAATGGAATTTAATCATGTCTAAAGAATAAAGAACTGCAGTGAGAAAAGTAGACATATCTGCTGTTTGACATTTAGAATATATTAAGGGCTTCAGGATTTTGAATAGTTACATTCATGTTAGGATTTTTACCTTCCTTTTCATAGTAATTCTCACTTCTCCAGATTCTACAATGAAAAAACAATCAGCCATCTCTCCCTATTAAAAATAAAAAGTAATGAAAACAAGAATATTGATTTTTAGTTTTATATTAATAGTAAGAAATTCATTAAAATATATGTAGTTACTGACTTACAGCTCATACTTCTGGTACTTGATTTAAAATGCTTTAATACATTTTACTTAGAAATTCATATTCTTGGCACAGAAAAATTAAAATGATGAGATGGGCAACAAGCTTCCTTAAAGAAAATAACACAGATGGCTCTATGTATCCATCAATACTGAGCCATGGAGAAAACATAGTTTGAGGAACCAAGAGAAGTCGAGGAAACTACAGCTATTGGATATCTTGGAGGATACTTTTCCTTGTTCACCAAAACAAACAAGCTGTTCCCCTATGGATCAGTGGGCAAGAACAGAATACTTGGGTTGGTGGACACATATTATCAGCCTGAGAGATCTACTCAGTTGCCACCTTCTTCTGTTCTAGAGGATTTTAAACTCATAAATCCCTAAAAATTATTCCCCATTATCTGCTCAGTTATCAACAAGCATGGGGGAGATCAAAGCCAACATCTAAAGGAAATCCAAAGACAAGACCTCCCCGATGGAACTATCCTTGCATTATTGTTGGGTTTTTTTAAGGAACAGAAACAGACACTCATTGTTAAGGTCCATTTTCAGCACCGACTATTTTACAAGCCTTTCTCTTATATAGTATTTGCAGTTTACTTTGTTCTGTTCAGACTAACAGAACATGCTGTTTCTTAAAATTCAGCATATGAAATTAGGTAGCTGTTAAAGTAATAAGAAAACTCCCAATAAGACACTGGCTAAATATCCCGTAATAGGCATTTATCATTTACAGATCTGTAAAAGCTAACAAAACATGCCAAATCCCAGAATGAATTAATTACATTTTGTCCTCAAAGACGCATACTACTGACTGCAAACATGTACAGTATAGAAGTATTAAAGTGTAAAAAAGCCAGTGGAAAATCAATTGAAATTACCTGCCAAGAATTTGCACTCTTTTTTTATGCTTTAAATTATTATTTGAAATTTAAATCATCATAACAACCTGGCTATTTGAACCATACAGTTTTTTTCATTCCAGTTTATTCAATTTTGAGTACTATATTGAGATTCAATTAGTTTAAAAGAATAGATTCATAATAGATAATAGATAATTTCACTTATTGGCATAAAAAAATTCAACTACGACACTACCATACCTGAGCAATGATTTGTTCTCCATCTTTATATACTTTGGTGCCTATCACATCCACCACTTTCAAACGTTCAGATAGCTTTATAAAAAGAATGGAAATATTAAACATTTTTTGCTAATATTAAATATATTTTGCCAATTCTTAATATCTGCTTTTATGGACCTAAATACAGTATAATATGTCCCTATCTGTATTGACAATAAAAGGGATAACTAGACCTCTGCTTAACAATTTCCCAGGGTACGGTTTACCAACATATGTCTTAATAAGTTTCTATTTTTGTATAGTAAATTTACATGCCCTAAATCTTCCAAAATACATATTGAAGAAAGTACAAATCTGTGCAGAAAAATGTATCTTTTAAATTAAAGTATTCATTTTTTTTCAACACGCCCAAAGCAGTAATTCATGGAATTAATATCTAGCAAAAATTCAATTTAAGAACTAGAAGGCTGGAAACTACAAACAATTCTAATATTTTATAGTATGTGGCCTCTGTCTTACAAGCTGATCTGCACAGGCAGAATCCTTGTTCCAGGAAGATCCAGATTCGGGGTCTGCTATGTGGATCAAATTATAGGATCAAGCTTTATGAAGATGATAAATTAGTCAATGAGGAAGATCAAATTGAAAATTCAACACTTTTCCTCAAAGGGCCCTTCTCTAAAAATAAAAATGTGCAACATTTTAATCTAAAAGAAAATTTTAATCAAAGATGAAATCCCATGAAAATAGAAGCTTATAATATAGCCCTGCCAGAACCACTAAAATAATGCAATAGAAAGCTTACTTCTAAAGATTTAAGGAATGGCAATGACTCAATAAAATTTTCATACATTCTTCTCTTTTTGGCATTGTTTTTTACAATGATTCTCCGGAATGTTACTCTGTCCTGAAAACACAAGGAGAAGGAAAAAAGTATATTAAAGGAAAATGTTAGCACAGGATGAAAAATGCATAAAAGAAATAGGTAAAATGTATAATGATTATAATCACCCACTAGAGGGCAATTCTATGTGTTTTTAAGGATTTCAGTGAGACCTTTCATTAAAATGTGATATATTAATTTAAATTGTAACATTTCAAATAACTGATTTTTTCTAAAAAGATCTTTGACATCAAATCTCTTGCCCATCTTTTTTATTCCTCTTTTAAAAATTAATTTTCCCTGGTAAATTTCAAAAAGGTTTGAAAGGTCAGAAAGGTGGGCCTGAGAGCAACACCAAACATTGTCATGCCCATACCTCACCTGCATACGTCTGTGTATAGCTGCTGTCTATTGATTTTCATATTCAGCTGTGCAGCAGCAATTACTGCTAACTGCCTTCTTGCCTGGCCAGGGAAGAGCATATATACTAACTACCTCCAGAGGAGATGCATGAGATAGGAAGTACCACTGGCCATCAACAAAGCTGAAACTGACTCTACACAAACAACTGCTGATGAACCAGTAAATGAGAAAGTGAAAAATTATTTCTTCTCCCCCTGCCTTGAAATCAGTTTCAGGTCTAGTAATCTTATATTGTTACTTGCAATTACAACACTTCCAGATGGAAATGTAATTTTTAAGTGATAGTGTCCCTTTAAATTGTTGTTTTAGTGATAGAAATGTAGCCGTGTTAGTCTGGTCTAGCTGAAACAAAAAACAGGACTATGTAGCACTTTAAAGACTAACAAGATGGTTTATTAGGTGATGAGCTTTCCTGGGCCAGACCCACTTCCTCAGATCAAATAGTGGAAGAAAATTGGCATGACCATATATACCAAAGGATGCAATCAAAAAAATGAACACATATGAAAAGGACAAATCAAATTTCAGAACAGAAGGGGGATGGTAAATGTCTGTGAGCTAATGATATTAGAGGTGATAATTGGGGAAGCTATCTTTCTAATGGGTAAGGTAATTAGTGTCCTTGTTAAGACCTATGTGTAAAGTGTCAAATTTAAGCATGAATGACAGTTCTGAAGATTCTCTTTCAAGCGAGACCACATCAGAATATCCCACATCTTACAGCACTCTTCTGAGGGATGAGAAACCCTTGTTCAAATCCTTTCTCATCTGTGATGAAGTGGGGGAAATTGAACCTGGGTCTCCCACATCTTAGTCTAGGTGAGTGCTCTAACTCCTGGGCTATAAGTTAGGCACTACTCCTTACCACTCCCCTGTTGTAAGAAGTGAGATAGGTGCCTCTGGCAGGAATGAGTTGAGACACCTAAGTCCCCTGACTCCATGAGAGGGATCCTTCACCATGTGTCACCAACCAGGAATAGGCATATCCCTCAGATCTGGACTTAGGTGCCTATCGCTGAGAGATGGATGAAGCTTATTATATACTCCAGGGTGGCCAACCCATTTAACAAAGAGAGCCAAAATAGAGGTGGGAAAAAAAGGAAGAGCCACACCAGAATTGTCAAGCAAAAAGGAAAAAAAGGCCCCCCAGAACAGAATTGTCGAGCGAAAACAAAAAACAATTAAAAAAAATTTTTTTAAAGGAGGCTGCCCCTTTAAAATGGCCACCATCTTGGCTGCCATTTTTAAAACCCTGCAGCTCTGACCTGGTAAGCCCAGAGAAGCCGGGGGCCGGCAGGGAGCAGGCAGAGGCCGCTTGGGGGGAGGTGCAGAAGCAACTTCGCGAGCTGCACTTTTGGGGGGCAAGGGCTGCATGTGGCTCGCAAGCCACAGGTTGGCCACGGTTGATATACTCCTTTTGTCAGCATCTGCCACTGGCAAGTTTATGGTGTTTCTCTTGTAGCATGCTGTCTTTTGTGGATCATATTCTACAGGGACTATCTCTCCCCTTTCATTGTACAGGGAGTTTTGGCATCTAAGATGGCTTGTGGATCGCAGTGGGGTTCCTGTGATTTTCTAGGCACTCAAAAGTTGTGCACTCTGATGCTCAATTTTGAAACAGACAGAGTCCTTCATGAATCCCACCCATGCTCCCTAACCTTTCAGGCTCAACATATATTAGATTTGTATGACACGTTTGGGCTACGTCTACACTGGGCCCTTTTCCGGAAGGGGCATGTTAATTTCAGAAGCCGTAATAGGGAAATCCGTGGGGGATTTAAATATCCCCCGCGGCATTTAAATAAAAATGTCCGCCGTTTTTTTCCGGCTTTTAAAAAAGCCGGAAAAGAGCGTCTACACTGGCCCCGATCCTCCAGAAAAAAAGCCCTTTTCCGGAGGATCTTATTCCTACTTTGAAGTACTTTAAAAGCCGGAAAAAAGCGGCGGACATTTTTATTTAAATGCAGCGGGGGATATTTAAATCCCCC